TTCCCTTTCTCCTCCTTCCCTCTCTTTCTTTCCTTGCTTCCTTCCCTTCTTTCTTTCCTTCCTTCCCTTTATCTTTCTTTCCTTCCTCCCTCCCTTCTTCCTTCCCTCTCTCCCTTCCTTCCTTCCTCCTTCTCTCTTTTCTTTCCTTCCTTCCTCCCTCCCTCCCTCCTTTCTTCCTTCCTCTTTCCTCCCTTTCTTCTTCCTTCCCTCTCTCCTTTCTTTCCTCCCCCCCCCCCTCCTTCCTTCTCCAAGGGCAGGACATCACTGCCCCTCTGCTGCTTTTCTAACCCACACATCAGGGTACACTTGTCGCTCCCAGGCACCCAGCTGCTGGCTCAGGACACACTGAGAACACCCCTGCTCTTCTGGCCTGCCTGCAGAGGCGAGGTCATGTTCTTTCGGCCATCTGGGGCCAGGAGAAGAGGGCAGCAGAAATTTCCGTCCTCTGAGGATGGACTGTAGTTCTGGGAAGAGCTCAAAGTCCCAAAGAACCGAGTCTGGTGAACAGGGTGGGAGAGTAACCTCTCTACTCTTGTCACAGAAAAAAAATGTCAATCACCCCCCCACCCCAGGCAGAGAGGGAAACTGAGGCAGGGAGTGGCCCAAGTGCTGCCGCCCTGCTGGGCGCTCTCCCAGGGCTCGCCCATTTGATCCTCCCCATGTCTCCATGAGGAAGGGGCAGGATCCCAAACTCCATCACATGAGACAAAAGGCAGAGCTGCACCTCTCACTCCTTTCTCTCCCTCGTCTCTCATCACCTGTGGGCTCAGTTTTGACAGCGCCTTGTACACACATCATCTCCTCTCTGTTCCCAACACAATCACCCTCTTAGAGGCAAGCCACTCTATTCCGCTGCCTGGGCCGCTGCGATGGCATCCTCACGTGGCCTGCCTCAGAGTGTCTACCTGACCCATCAGGCACAGATCAGATCACATCCCACATCCTTTGTCGATGTCCTCCTGCCTCACCGTGGCTACTCTGCCTGGCGCTCCAGACCGTGCCACAGCCCAAGAACGCCGCACTTGGAACCACCCTGAGCTCTGAGCCTTGTAAATGCACCTCTCTGCCTTGGGTCACTCACACAATATGCCTACAAGTCCCTCCTCTCCCTTTCCCCAGGAGAAGGCAAGCTCCCTGAGGGCAGGCCCAGTTTGTTTTCTCTGCTCTGCCAGTGCCCAGCACTGGGCTGCACACACTAGGTGGTTAATGACTTTAGTGGAAAGGCCTTTTCATTGGCTGAGTTACTCCAACCTATTTTTTTTCCTCAACCTATTCTTTAATGCCCAATTCAACTGCCACCACCAGGAGGAAGCCTTCCCAGACTTCTCAGGTCTACATAATAAGCCCCTGGACACTTCTCTGATGCAGGCAGACAGCACTCCATTAGATCCTACATCCCAAGAAGGCAGGCATTTTGGCCGAGCTAAACTGTGGTCCGCTACCAGTGCTCACAATGGGAGCCTGCCCAGAGTAACATGCGAGTGACCTGAAGATGCCCCAGTGGCCCCAGGCCCTCCAGGCCGTGACGGCTCCTCGGAGCCAGACTTAGCGTGGCTTTGGCTCCAGGCCCTCCCCTGCTTACACAGACTGCCTGGGGACGTGCAGTCGAGATCACTCTGCCAAAGCACTGGAGCTTTCCTGCCCATTGTGACCCAAGCAGCATTGGGAGAAGAGCCCACGAGCGCCCAGACAAGGAGACGGACAGAAGGCGCAGGGAGCTGGGAACCCTAACCCTAACCGTGCTCCTCCTGCCGACTGTCCGGGAAGCCGCCCAGGCACGGCTTCAGCCCTGAGCATCACACTTTACAAAGGTCAGGCAGGAGGCAGAGTGTCCAGAGGAGACGCCCAGGATGGGGAAGGACCGGAGAAGGCAGCTGGGGATGAGAAAACTCGGGGCCACAACAGAGCAGCGGTCCGGCGGAAGGGGCTGGCCTGGTTCTGTCTGGCCCCCGCGGGCAGAGCCAGGAGTTTCCAAGAGGCCCTTTTCAATCTGAGCTCAGGGTCCAAAAGAACTTCTTACCATTTAGAACGGATAGAGGAGAGGGCTTCAGACAGGAGCCAGCCGACAGCTTCTTGGAATGGGGTTGGGGGGAATCTTTTTTCAGCTGTGGGTTCAGTGGGATGTCTTTGAGGCCTGAGGCCAGCTCTGAGAATCCACGAGATCTGGTTTCAAGAACACTTCCAGCTCTCTTGAATGACTTTGGAGATTTTGCTGGTTATTTTTATCTCTCCCTAAAGAAGCTTCTCCAAACTGCTGAGAAGAGGACAAAGAGGCGAGACCGAATCCCCAGGGTCCACAGGAAGAGTGGCTCGAACCCCCTGGCCTCGGGGTCTCCAGGAGGCAACCCAGGACGAATGGTGAGCCCGCTAGACGCTGGCGGTGTGGACCGAAGGGAGCCTGTCCCTGGCCTCAGGGGAGGAAGGCAGAGATAAACAAGCACAAACTCACAGGCCAAGAATGGTCAGCAGATGAGAAAAGACTTGTGTTGTGAAGGGAGAGGGGAGGAGAGGGTTCCAGACACAGGGGCCGCTCCTTTGGGCAAAGGCAGCAGGCAGGCAAGACAAGAATCAGCCAAGAGCCCATTTCACAGGAGTGGAGACTGAGCAGAGGGGAGTCTATGAAATGAGTCTTGAAGGACAGCATTCAACGCCAGAGTCTTTTCGGGGGGCAGGGCGGCAGTAATGACACGATCAGAACCACGTTCTGAGAAAGGACTGGAAGAGGGGAGACCAAGGAGGAAAGAGGTGCGAGCCCCCGCCCTCGGCAGAAGGAAGGAGCCTGGGCAGCAGAGTGGCGGGGGGGGGGCCCGATGAAGACGGCACCAAGGCTGGCACGTGGGCAAGCGGAAGGACGACAGTGCCCCCGGCCAGAGGGAACGAGAACGAGCGTGGTCTAGTGAGGGGCCGACCTGGAGATGCCTGGGGGACGCCCACACGGAACCGTCCAGCAGACAGGTGGTGACGCGGGACCGCTGCTCAGGAGACACAGCAGGACACGAGATCGCGAGCTGCGCAGATTCAGAGAATCCGCCTCAAGCGTGCCTGACCTGCAGTAGAGCCTTCCCAGTTCACGTCGTCTGATCAGCCACAGGGGGGCGTCACTTTGGTCCTCAAGAAGGTTTGGTGGTCGTCGGCACACGCCCATAGGATCCCATGACATGATCAAGGGGCACAGGGAAGGGGAGATCCCAGAACAGAGGCCTGGGGGACTCAAGAATCAGCCTCTGCAGGCTCAAAGAGAAACCGTCCGAGCGAGAAGATGAAGCGCAATTGAACGGGGCTGGCGTGGATGCCCAGGAAACACACCGCCCCTCCCGTCTGAGGTGGGGGATAAAGCCGGCCGACACACGGCCCAGTCCTGGGAAGGATGGAGCCGTAATGGCCACGGGACAGGGAGAAGGCCAGAACGCCCTCCTCTGCCCAGCCCATCAGCCAGGCAGCCAGTCACCAAGCACCTAGTACGTGCCAGGCAGATGCCTGCCCTTGTGGAGATGATGCTCTACTGGAAAAGCCTCTGCTGGGAAAGAAGAGAAATGATCCCCGCAAACAGGCCAGAGCAGCCAGACCCCGGGGGCCCAAAGGAAGAGACCCCGGAAAACGGGCGCTGCCCGGATTCTGAAAGCAGAGAATGAGACGAGGCGGCCGACGACGGGCCGGCCTGATGCCGAGTGCTGGTGGGAGTCCAGCATTTAGGTACAGGAGGGCTCAGCCTGGGCCGCCTGTCCCTGAGGAGGTGTCCTTTCCCCTTCCCTGCCCCCTGTGCTCCTGTGACCCTGGCGCTCCTCAGGCCCCCTAAGCTAGCACACAGCACCGACCGGCTTCGCGGGGAGACGGAGGACCAGCAGGCCTTCCTGGCTGTGCTTGGCAGAGGCTGGCGGCAGGCAGAAGGCTCCTGGCCGACATTCGGGACCAAGTGATCAGCTTAGCTCCTGGGCTGTTCCAGAAGTTTCTCTGACACTGCAAAGACTCCCAGCACTCAGGCTCATTCAAGGGCCACTTAAAGTCTTCCTTCAGGACCAATTCCATTAATAATTCAAACTCGTTTGAGAGACCAAGATGCAGGCCAAAACTGTACATCCTTTTCCAAGGGAAGGTTAATGGAATATTTTGCCCGCAGCGAAAAACAAACAAACCAAAAAACCCCAACCAAATCTGCATGCAGAGCAGCTTCCTCCACCAGCCCTGTTTTACTGAAATAGCCACTGGCCAGGGCAGACAAAACAAGGCTAGGCTAGGCTATACTAGCTCAGGCCAGGCCAGGCCAGAATAGGCCAGGCTAAACCAGGCTAGGCCAGGCCAGAATGGGCCATGGTAGGCCAGGCTAGGATGGGCTATACTAATTCAGACCAGACCAGGCTAGGCCAGGCCAGGCTAGGCCAGAAGGGGCCAGACTAGACTAGGCCAGACCAGGCTAGGATGGGCTATACTAAGTCTGAAGTGAGGTGGGAGGGGACCAGATGTTTTTTCATCCCAAAGGAATAGGAAGCCACTGCAGGCTTTTTTAGCAGGAGAGTGAGTGGTCAGACCAGTGTCTTAGGGTGACCAGGGGAAGGGCTATCACAGTGGTACCTCTGAGGTCCCCAAGGGCATGATGACCATAGGGGGGTGACTAGGAAGAGAGAGAGGAGGGAAAATAGGAGAGAAGTTACAGGGGACAAAGTGCCAGGGGGAAAGTGGGCAACAGGGCAACTTCTGGTGGTGGTCCAGAGGAAGGGGCGGGTGAGGGGCCAAGACCGCCAGTTCAGTTTGTTACATCGCCAGCTGTATACGCCTTGCTAACTCTCCTGTAGTCCGGCTTGGCCCTTCCTCACAAACACCAAAGGAACCCAGGAATCCTACACTCCGGTCTAGTGTGCCAGTGCGGGGCAGCCCCCAGAGCCCCCATCTGGCTCTCACCCGCCTGCCTGGTCCCGGCCGGTGTCCCCCCTCGGCTCCGTCCTGACCCCTCAGCAGCTCTCGTGGACTCAAGTGTCCTCTCCATCGACACGACTCCCAGAGCTGTGCCCGGCCCTCCTCTCCCCCGAGCACCTGAACTGGATGTGGTGGAGGCATCGCAAACTCGACACGTCCAAACAGAAGCCAAGATCTTTCCCCTCCAGACCCGGGCTCCCCCACACTGCACTCTCCCCACCAAGGTCACGCATGAAGAGCCTGCCCGTTCCCTGGGTCCGCCATATCTAAGCGGGCCGCTCGGTCCTGCCGGCGGCTGCCACGTTGTCTCGTCCCTCTCTCTCCGCCCAGCGCCTGTCACCTTGGGCCTTGCCCTCCGCTGGAGCCTCTCTCTCTCCACACAGCTGCCCGGGCCACATTGCTGAAATGCGTGCCCAGCACTCTCTGCTCAGGCACTCCCCCAGCTGACCTTTCCGGCCTCATTGGACAGTGCTGCCCGAGAAGAGTCTATGGGCCAGGCCAACCAGACCGCCTCCTGCCCATTCCTGCAGCAATTCTCAGACTCAGTCAGTCTTCGGAATCTCAACCACTTTCATTTTTTTTTGTGTGCTTTTTTGGTGAGGCAATCGGGGTTAAGTGACTTGCCCAGGGTCACACAGCTAGTAAGTGTCAAGTGTTTGGTCTGAGGCCGGATTTGAACTCAGGTCCTCCTGACTCCAGGGCCGGTGCTCTATCCACTGCGCCACCTGGTGGCCCCTCAACCACTTAGGTGTTTTCAATCGAACAAGGGAGGTGGTACTTTAAGGATCCATCTCTTTTTTAAATTTTACAAGAAAAAATACTTTTTTAAAATGTAAGGCTTCTCTTATTAAAAGATGCCTGTAGACCTGCACGGAATGGTTTGGCCTCCTGTTTCCGTCCAATTCAGTGGTCCTGAACACGTGGATTCATTCACAATTTTCCCCATGGCCTCAGTCAAGATAGCCGCTGCATGCCCAGTCAGCGCCCGCCATGATGGTGAGCCATTCACGCTACCAGTGAGCACGAGGTCCTGGAGCCTGCACTGGCCCAGCAGGGCGCGTCATATTGTAACAATCAGAACTCGAGAGAAAACTCAGTACTCGGAGTTCAGACTGCCTGATTCCGGGAGCGCCCTCCCTCCCGGGGGCCAGGACTGGGATGAATCTTCTCCCCCCCCACGGGGGACTACCGTGCAGCGTCAGAAAAGAGAGACTAAAAACCCAGGGCCTCGGCTCGCGCCTCGCTCACCCGGTGACTGCCCCGGCCTTGAGGCCCTCTAAGGTCCCTGACAAGAGATCGAATTTCCTGCAGGGGTTCCTCCGCATGTGAGAAAGGCCCAGCGTCTACTGCTCCAAAATACCTAGGCCCGTGCGCGAGAAACTGGGCGCTGGCCTCAAGCAAGTTGTAGGGCCCAGAAGGCCAACCAATCACGTGGGCAAATGCGAGCATCGAAGAGGAAGAAAAGTCGTGTGTGTGCGTGTGTGTGTGTCTATATGTGTGTCTGTCTGTGTGTGTGTGTGTCTGTGTGTGTCTGTGTGTGTGTCTGTCTGTGTGTATGTGTGTCTGTCTCTGTGTTTGTGTCTGTGTGTCTGTCTATGTGTCTGTGTGTGTGTCTGTCTGTGTGTATGTGTGTCTGTCTCTGTGTTTGTGTCTGTGTGTCTGTCTATGTGTCTGTGTGTGTGTTTGTGTCTGTGTGTATGTCTGTCTGTGTGTGTTTGTGTCTGTGTGTCTGTGTGTGTCTGTGTGTTTGTGTGTTTGTGTCTGTATGTGTGTGTCTGTGTGTCTGTGTCTGTGTGTCTGTGTCTCTGTGTGTGTCTGTGTCTGGGTGTGTTTTTGTGTCTATGTGTGTCTGTGTGTTTGTGTGTGTGTCTGTGTGTGTGTGTGTGTCTGCATGTGTGTCTGTGTGTGTGTTTGTGTCTGTGTGTCTGTGTGTGTGTGTATTTTTATCAAAACTGGTTGGAAGTTGGATTAGTCGGGGAAAATAGATTTAGACTCAAGACCTGCAAGAAGTGCTGACTCGTCCAGAATTTGGAGAGCTGAAAGGGCCCCCCCGCCCCACATTCCCCACTACCACACGCACCTCGCCCTGCTGGGGGGCCGCTCTGACCCTCGGAAGCCTTCCTGACCTCAAGCCCACATCTGCCTCTCTGTGATTTCCACCCACTTCAACACGCCCTCCCCTGCACACAGGAGCCCCGTTATCACGGCGGGTAAGGAAGCGGGCTCAACCTCCTTGTCGCCCATGACACTGGAGCCAAGCCCGCAGTTCCCATAGTCACTGCCTTGTCTGGACCATCTCCAGCTATTGGGAGGAGGCACGCGGAATGGAACACGGCACACTGCGCTGGGCACGGCAGGGAGCAGCCCCCCCACCCCCACCCCCGGTCCTGGCAGCCCTGGATCCCGTGAGCTTTTCGGCTATCAGATCCCACTATTGACTCACACTGTGCTTCAGGTCCACTCAAACCCCCAGATCTTTTTCAGATCTAACTACAGGCATCTAACCGTGCTTCCCCCTCCCCAGCTCACTCTTTCCCTAAGTCCCTGTCAAAACACACAGAACAAGAAAAGAGCGGCGCCTTCCTGTGTCCAGCAGTCATGCTGACTCCCTAGGCCAATGGCACCTGCTGGAACAACCAGGAAACACTCAGGAATTACAAACCTACCTCCCTCATTCGACTGAGAACACCGAAAGTGGTTGAGGGGCCACCAGGTGGCGCAGTGGATAGAGCACCGGCCCTGGAGTCAGGAGGACCTGAGTTCAAATCCAGCCTCAGACCAAACACTTGACACTTACTAGCTGTGTGGCCCTGGGCAAGTCACTTAACCCCGACTGCCTCACCAAAAAAGCACAAAAAAAAAAAATGACAGTGGCTGAGATTCTGAAGACTGCCTGAGTGACAGTTCATTTCACTCTTCTGTTGGGAAAGTGCGAAGGACCCTCAGCTCGGTCCTCTCCCCCTGCCCTCACCCGGGCAGACCTTTAGCACGGGAGTCAGACCCAGAACGGTATCAAACAACAGACCGCTGGCACCACTGAGAGGCCTCCGCCTTGGCCTCTCGGCCTCCAGCCTCTGCCGTCTCCAATCCCTGTCACCCGACCTTCCTCAGGGGCAGCTCAGACCCATCCACGTCCCCTCCCAGCCCACGCCCACCCCCCTTGGGCACTCAGGGTTTCCTGTGACCTCATGGTCAAACACAAACCCCTCAGTCTGGGCCTCTCGACTTTTCCAGCCTTGCTTATGCCACTGCCCTTCACATGCCCCACAGGCCACCCGATTGGCCTCCTCCCTACTCTTCCTACACAACACTCCAAGTCCTATTTATAGGCTTTTGCCCAAGCTGTGCCCTATACCTGAAATGCCCTCCTTCCTCGGAGGCTCATTGAGCTGGAAAGGCCCATTTTACAGATGAGCAAAGAGAGGCCTAGAGGGCTAAAGCTGCTTGCCTGTGGTGACACAGAGAAGCGTCTGAGGCAGGACCCGAAGCCTCTTCTGACTCGGCAGCTTCCTGGGCCCCTGGCTACGACAGTGTCTCCCCCAAGAGGACAGTGGCTCCTCGGGAGCAGGCAACCCCGATTTTTTGTTTCTGGCATACAACAGGCGCTCAGTAAATGCTCAGGGACTGCCTGGCTTGGCAAACCAGCCCTACAGCTAAGATTTTCATCCAGGACCAGGTCAACAATGATTGGAATAGAAACAATTCACTCTGAAATGTCCAGGGACACACACGCCAAAGGAGGAATTCCAAAAGCCTGGCCCTGGGACAGCAACCTTCCCTCCTCCCAGGGAGCCCCACCCGCCCCCCCCATCCCTTACCTTTCTTCTCCCGGGCAATTTTCCGCACCCCTTCTCTGAAGTCTGAGAGCACCTGTAGATAGGGCATCACCGTGGTCTCAAGCTGCAGGAGACAATGTCCAAAGAGTGGCAGAAGGAAGCGAGTAAGCATTTGCCGAACACCTACTGTGGCCCGGGCACTGTGCTACGCACTTTGCAAATATTACCCCTGTCTGACCCTCACAACTGCCTTAAGACAGAGATGCTGTTATGATCCTCACTTTACAGCCAAGGAAACTGAGGCACATACAAGTTAAATGACTCGCCCAGGGTGACCCAGCTGGTGAGAATCCCATGCCACATTTGAACTCAGGACCAACCTGGCTTTATGTTTTGTGACTCCCAGCCACCTAATTTAGCACAAACTATAGTGTTTCCTTCTTTACAGGGATCAGCAGGTTTAAAAACACTCCCTAGGAAAGACCCTGCATAGCCGGGCCTGGATTCTGGCAGGGCCCCTCGACCCTTCAGCCCGTGGCCTCCATTTTAAAAGCTCTGCAGGCCTGGTCCTGGCCAGAGCACAAGGGCAGGACCCTGGACAGTGCACTCTTGCCTTCAGCCCTGCTGGGTGACCTTCCCTAGGGGCCCAGGCCATCCTCAGAGCGATGGAGCAGCCAGCAGCCTTTGGGGGTTAGGCGGGCAGCCTGACAGCCTCCATCAGCCCTCCCCCCACCGCTGGCCCACGTTTCCTTCGGGTGCCCCTGGTGGGCCTGTGGCCACGGAGCCCCGGCCCAGCTCTAAAGGCAGTACTTGGCACTCGGAGGAGGGCGGTCCTTTCTCTAGAAGCTGCCAGACTGTCTCTTTACACTGAAGGCTCGAGAATCTCCCCAGGCTGACTTCGGTTCACCTGCAGCGACATCGAACCCAGGACTGTTCACGTCTGGGTTTGAGCCCCCCAGCTTCAGAGATTTCCCAGTCCTTTCTACAAAGGAGTCGGCCAAGGTGCCCTGGCTGCTGGAGCCTGGGCCCCAGGGCCGAGGGCCTATCTTTGCTGTCCAGTCAGGAAAGGCCTGTTCTTGGCGTCCTGGGAACCCCCGACGCTGATACCCGCGCCGAAGGCCGACTGGAACGTACGGAGCCCCTCTTAGGAGGCAACTCCCTCTCTGAGAAGCCACCGACCCCCCGCCGCCCAGCTGCCAGGGAGGGGTTCCTAATGCAGCAGCGCGCCCTCCCCCACCTCCCAGCTCCACAAACTCCAATAGCCCCCTCTTACTCTGGGGACAAAACATGGACTTGCCCATCAACACCGGGCTCCAGCCAAGCTCAGTGGCACCAACGCACATGTTCTCCCACACGCAGGCTACGTTCTAGTTAAACTAGCCTGCTGTTCTCCTGCCTCCGGGCCTTTACGCTGGCTGTCCCTGACGCCTGCGATGCACTCCCCCAGCCATCCCTCTCAGAGTTCCTAGCTTTCCTCAAAGCTCAGCTCTGCCGCAGCCCCCGGGAAGTGCCCTCCTCTTGAAAAGCCTTTGTGTGTTTCGTGTCTAATGGTCGCTGTGCGTGTCCTCCTCTCTGTAAAGGCACGGTCAGTCCAGCGGTGTGCCGGGGGCATGCTAGCTGAACCGAGATGCCCGTGGAGGAGGGACGCATGCTCCCGAGCTTTCTTCCCAACCAGGAGCAGACGGGGTACGAGGTGACCCTAATCACTCCCCCTGGGCTCATGTCCTGAGTCCCACGCTTTCTGGGGGTCCTTCTATGGTGCTCGGCATGACCGCCCCCTCCTTCGCCAGGAGCCTCGGAGGGGACACAGACCACACAGGCCTGCCGCCTGCCCCTCTGGACAGGCCCAGCTACGATGCACACCGTAGATGTCTGAGAAATGCTTGCTCTCCCAGGGAAGAGGGGTCGCCAAAAAGAGATTTTCTACCAAGGAACCGATCAGGAAGAAGCGCCCACAGCCCCAGCCACTCCAGGACTCCTGGGCACAGGACACAGCCGAGCAGGCCCCCCTTCTCCCTACGCTGAGGCCGCTGACTGGTCTAAATTCTCTTGACAAAATGCCTGCAAACTGGCAGTGCAGGAAGCCCCCGATTACGTCCTGCGACTGAAAAGCTTCGCTGGCTATCTAGAGTTTGCGGCCATTGGACTCCGGCACAGTTCTAAACGCTGAGGTTATGAATGAGCACCAAATTTTAAATCGATAATTTCTTTGGAAAGTGAAGGTCTGAAGTATATGATGGCTCCCAAAAATCTTGAAATGGCCATTTTCTAGGCAATTTCCTTCCCAGGCACGGGCGGAAGCCCACGTTCAGCCTCTGTGCCCAAGTCCTGTTTTCTCCCTCCTTTGGGATTCCTCCAGGTAAGCTGGGGATGAGACCCCCTCCCCAGACAAGACACCCGCAAACGTAAACCGCCTGGAGGGCAGGCCAGACAGACTCAGCTTCTACTCACGTTCAGGCTGGGCCCACTCCCACCGACCGGAAAGCCCAGCGTCTCTTCGCTTTCTATGGCACCAAAGATCTAGCGGGGGGACAAAGAAAACCACGATGTCACATTGAAAGCAGAGGGTGGCCAAGCTTGGGCTCCTTCTATGCCTGGCTTCCCAGCCTCCTTAGAGCACCTCAGATGGTACAGGGAAGCCTTGCCTGGGGCCTTCCTAAGAGTCTGGCCCAAGAAAGGCACCCACGGGATGGGCTCCAGCCTGGGCACCAGGAAGGGCCGGGTCTGGGGCTCTTGCCGTCCATCACTGACATTTCAGGTCCTCGGGGTCCCTTCCTCAAGGCAGGAGCCCGACCACAGACAGGTGCCAGCCTCGTGGCGCCTTCCTGGCTCCCAAAATGCCGTGTTACATCCCGACCCCTTAGCTTTGCTGAGGACAAAGCAGATCACAGACTGCAGGTGGAGGATCTGCCTTCTGTAGGCAATGACATCAGCGATATAATAAGTGGCCGGGGGGCCCCAGGGCTCCATGAGCAAGCCCCGCCCCCCCAGGCATGAGGCAAGAAAGGAGCTGCTTTCTGAACCTCCAGAAACCCCTCCCGGCAGCCCAGCCTCCACCCCACCGAAGGAGGCCCACCTTCAGCATGTGGGTGAGGTAAGCGCTGATGGTCGCCAGCAGGCCTCGATTGGGCAGTTGTCGGGCAGACTTCCGAGCCGCCATGTAGAGATTGCTCTGGCTGACCAGAGACCGCATCTCCTCTAGGACCGTGCGCGTGTCGATGTTATCACAGAGGGCCTCGTGAATCATTGCCTTCTTGGCATAAAAACTGGTGAGAAGGAAGGAGGGGTAACAGTTGGCAAATTGATGCCCCGTGGGTAGAGAAACGCGTCGATCCCACCTGGGAAATCCCTGGGCTACACCTTCCCTGGGGACCTCATCCTGGAGCGGGCCCGCAGGGACCCAAATGCTGACGGAAGCTGAACGGGAGGCCACGGGGCTGCCCAAGGACTGCCGGTCAGCTGGCGCGTGGCCACACAAGCAACAGACTAGCCCCGCCGTGGGGCCCCACTGTGCCGGAGAAGAAATGAGGAAGGGGCTGGCTGCGCGGAGGGCTCCAAGAGAGGGCAGGAGCTCAGCGCACCACCTCGGTTGGTCCACCAGACGAGGAGCCCCCCCACAGACGGCCAGTGCTCCCCTCCTGAAGCTCGCCCCAAACACTGAAAATCCCCAGAGCACGACGAAGGCTTCTCACGTGTTGTTCAGCTCGAGCTCCTGGGCTTCCCACTTCTCAAACTGACCCGTCACATCCGCTGGGGCACGAAGAACGTCTTTCACATTTAAGAAAAACTCCTGTGGGAAACAGTGAAAAACTCCCTTGTGGTTCAGCCAAACAGCGCCAGAAACCGCCCTTCTCTAAGGCCCCCAGGCTCTCCAGGCCATCTTCCCTTCAGGAACGGTCAGGAACAAGGACAGAGGCCTCGGAAAAAGGAGATGGGCGATGAACCCTGCCTGCCCACCCTCGAGTGGGAGGGGCGCGTCTGTGGCCCACCCAAGGCCTCCGAGCCCAGCCAGAGGGAACAGGAAGGAGGGCCCTCGGCTGATGCCCAGGGAGACTTCTCGCTGGCGGGGCACATCGTGGGAGAAGCAATGCTTTATGGGCAAAGCTGTGTCTGATCACGTTGTGACCTTTGCCTTGTCCAAGCTCCCGAGCAAGGTGACCTCAAGCCACCTGACTGGAGAGGCTCCTCCGGGCACAAGGGGGTTTCTGCCCATGAGGACGCTCCTCCCCCAGCAGAGCAATGCTTAAATTTATGTAATGTCAAATTAACAAAGATCGCTTCCGGCAGACCCCCTCCTGAAACCCAAGGCGGTCTAAAGCTAGAAAATAAGAGATAATGTATTGGAACTAAGGCTCCTAAGCGGCTTTGTGCCCCAGGGGAGAGCGCGGGAGAAGCTGCCCCATCTGAGTCACCCTCTCAGCGCAGAAGAGGCGCACAGAGGATTTGGGGGAATGGCCAGCTTCTCAGGGCATCCCCACTTCAGGCTTCTGGCTCTGCTCGGAGCTGAGAAGGCACTGTCGAGAAAAATGCACGAGGTGCTAGGACCCTTCCCAGGTAAACTCCTGTGGGCAGCTGCTACCCTTGGGCTGGTTTCCTCCTGGACAGGAGGAAGGAGCTGCGCTTCCAAGTGAAATGCGCGCGGGTGGCCCATGGCAGGACAGCGGCGGGCACACTCACGTTCATAAATCTCTCGTACTGAATGGCAGACTCCATGGTGTTGCAGGAGTAATCGAGCGTATCCTTCCAAGAGTGCATCAGAAATGCCAACCGCAGCTGGCGTGCTGTAATGAGACACATCGGAATGGTGAAAAGACATTAGAATAACCCACTCGTTGGCATGAAAAAGCTGTGACGTGAAACTTGTGAATGTCAGTCCTAAATAGTGACGGAGCGCCAGTCGGGTGTGAGGGCCACAAGGGGCACCCCCCCCGCCCTCTGTGAGGGGAGTCAACACACACACACACACCCCCACACCCACGCACACCCACACCAAAGCACAGGCATGATCTGTACAAAACTGCCACAAGGTAATCTGAGGGGGATCGGGAAAGGCCGCGTGGAGATGGACGCTGGCGCCTGAGCCAGGTTCTGAAGGAAACAAGGGGTTCAAAGAAGCAGGTGACGGGGAGGAAGACGCAGGCATCTGGGACGGCCTAGGCAAAGGCACAGAGGTGGGAGATGGGCGGAATGTCATCTATTGGGAAGAGCAAAGGAGAATCTGCTGGGCCATGAAGCGTGGGGAGGCTGGGCCAGTGGAGGAAGGGCTTCAAAGACGTGACCAGCACTGAATCTTGGAGCTCAGAGACTAGGGAGACCCTGGAATTCCCTGACTATAGGAGTGACCTTAGGAAAATCCCTCTGACCATGGAGTGGAGGAAGGGCTGGAGGGGGAGAGATTCGGGGCAGGGAGATCCCCCTACCCCCAGCCCCAGCAGGCGACCGCAATAGTCCAGGCGTGAGGGGAGGACGCTGCCCCGGGGTGGGGCCGCGTGGCTCGAGAAGATGTGGTGGAGCCAGAAACTGAACGTGGGATAAGGGAGAGCGGCGAGGGGAGGGGAGGCCTGGGCTTCGAGTCTGGGCGACGGGACGACAGTATTAGGAACATGGGGAAGTGTGGAGTTTTAGGGATTCAGTGGTGGACATGTTGGGTCTACGCTGTCTGCGGGCTGTCCAACAGCGGCTGGTGATGCGGGAACGAAGAGAGATCTCTCAGGGGAGAGACGTGAGCTTGACGCAAGAAAGGATGGCTTAGCCCATGGAAGCTCGTGAGGTCCCCCAAAGGAGTGCAGCGAGGGATGCGCCATGGATAGAGCGCCCACAGAGGAGGCGAGAGGGGCGGTCGGGCAGGTCAGAGGGTCAGGAAAGCCCAGCAGGCAGAGATGAAAGAGGGGTGGGAGGGCTGAGGAGGGGCCGCCGGCTTTCCTGGCGCCATGTCCGTCTAGGAGGGAAGGGAAGGTCGGGCCTTACCCGAATGCTTCTTCAAGGCATCCTTGATGGTGATGAAGTTCTTTAAAGACTTTGACATTTTGCAGCCTGCGATGGTTAAGTGGCCCGTGTGAAGGAAGTATCTAACCCAGCAGTCATTTTCAAAGTATGCCTGCGACAGAAAGTCAAGGCTTAAAGACTTTGGGGAAAACAGATGTTTCTGAACCTCCCAGCCAGAGCCCGGCTAAGAAACAAGCGTGTCAGCTGCGCTCGCCCCGAGATCTGAACCAGGCTCTTCTGCCTCAGTGCTCTCCAGCCTCACGCATTTTAGGAGTGTCTCCTAAAATGTGAGTGTTTTCCAGGCAGCTCAGTGCATTGATGGCGCCAATGGCGGGGTTGGTTGGCTACTTACCTCTGACTGAGCCAGTTCATTGTCATGGTGGGGGAATCTAAGATCAAAGCCTCCACCGTGAATGTCCATCGAAGGTCCCAGAATGGTCCCGGCCATGGCAGAACACTCGATGTGCCAGCCTGGGCGGCCCTGCAGAGACACGGGCATTTGTTTCCAGTGACAAGACTCTGGGATGGCCTCCACGCCCCTGGCCTTGCTTTTCAAGCCCATCCCTTCACTTAGGGAGTTAACTAATCCAAGTTCAACCAGGCCTGCCTGGGACCAGCACTGGGGGTCAGGGAAGGAAACCTGGAGAGGAATCACCGGCACCAGGGCCCTGGCCTGGCCTGACCCAGGCACCCCAAGAGTTCCGTTAATCATCAACAATACTGTGTTGTTCATTCAGGTGTGCCTGACTCTCCATGACCCCATTTGGGGCTTTCTTGGGGAAGATTCTGGACAGGCTGCCATTTTCTTCTCTGGCCCATCTTACAGATGAGGAACCGAGACAAACAGGATTAAGGGACATGCCCAGGGTCACACATCTAGTAAGTGTCTGAAGCCAGATTTGAACTCAGAAAGATGAGTCTTCCTGACTCTATCCACTATGGCGCCACCTAGCTGCCCCAACGATACTGCATGTGCATGCATAATGGATATACTATTGACTGCCTTCTCAAGGGATGGGAGGGGGCAGGAAGGAGGGAGAGAAGTTGGAACTCAGAATTTAAAAGAAATGAATGTTAAATTTTTTTAACATATAATTGAGAAATTGCATATATATGTATGTGTGTGTGTGCGTGTGTGCATACCCACATACAGTATCTCAACCTGCTAAGGAGGGAGCACCTGCCTCCCCCCATGGGTACACGGTGTCTCTGACGGTAAGTACATTCCCCAGAGCAGGGAGCCAGGTGATGCATCTTACCTTTCCCCAAGGACATTCCCAGGACGGCTCCCCAGGCTTGGAAGCTTTCCAGAGAGCAAAATCATTTGGAGAGCGCTTCTCACTTAATCGATCTGCTGAAATACTCAAGTCTCCTGAGAATGCAGAAAAGCCATCGTTGCTTAAATGGGAAGTAATACAAAATCTGTGACTTCCTAACAGAGGAGGCACCTCCTTCATCAAACTGCAAAACTGCTTTCCAAGCACCTGGTTCAGGCCCTGCTTTTAACCTGAGTATGTGAGCAAACCCCATCTGGTAATGAAGTGAGTGTCAAGGTGGACAAATGTTATTTCTAACATCTGAACTGAGGGCACCTTACAATCGACTCCAGCCAGCCCCAGGGTAAGGTCTCCAGCAAGCTCTGGTTCACAATGTGCTTGTGGTTGTGGGGAACGGCCGAGGGGACACCGTGACCCCTTTGGGGTTGGGAGGAGAGGGGGGCGATGGGATTTTGGTGCCCAAGCTCACAGGGCACCCTACTAGGGACGTGACTCTCGGGTCCTTGTTGAACGTGGCACAGGGGAAGCAAGTAAGGTGATAAACGGGGGCAGGGAGGGGGTGGCTGGTCAGTACACTCCAGTGTCAGCGAGAAGGGTCTACGAGATGCAAGGGCCATCCTCTGTCGCTCAGCGGGTCACAAAGAGAGAGCATCACGGACACAGGCCCGTAACCAATGGGCCAGCCTTGACCTAGTAACTCACTCACCTTCCCAAAGGGCTAATCCGAGAGCTCTAGAAAAGAAACGGGACACGTCCAGTGCTTTCACCAACACCAGGAAAGTGGTGCAGAGAGGCTGGCCACAGACAAGGTCAGCACCAAGTGGGCAGTCACTGAGCCCACGTCCATCTACGCTGTTTAACATGAAACTCAAATTCATGGCTCTCAGAGGGACAGAAAAGGCCATCTCCCTAGACTGTGTGAAGGGACTGCTGAGATCCAACCAGTTTCTAAAGGATCAACTGAGGAATCCCACAGACATGTGTTAGGAACCATACAGAGATAAAAACCTGCCCTCAGGGAGCTTCCACAGGAAAGCCAACTCAAAGGCTCCCAAGAAGAGAAGGCCACCACCTACCCCAGCCAAGCACTATTGACACGGTCCCAGTGGCGCCCTCGTGTGGCGGTCAGCGGTAACAGGGCAGGTCTGCCTAGCCAGGGCAGCCCAGGAAGGCGGGGCTGGAGGAATCCCTGGGAGCTCCCCGGTCAATCACACCACGCCCACCACACCCAAGGTGGTCAAAGACAAAAGAAGGGCAGGAGGGTCAGCTGGACAAGGCAGGCAGATGGGACTGTGGCCTCCGGCCTCCACTCCCCTGGCTCCCTGCCGCCTCTGGGATCAAGCATGAACTGCCCAGTTTGACTCGCAACACCCTGGACAGCCCGCCTTTCCAGCCACAATGGACACTGCCGCACTCTGTGCTCCAGACCGAGGGGCCTTCTCTCGTTCCTGCACTAACCCCTCCACATCTCCTGCCGCCATGCCTTTGTAATGGCCATCCCATTACAAGGTGTGCCTTGCACGCCTTCTCTCCTCCCTTCTGCCTCACGGAATTCCTTCCTTCCTTCAAGAGGCAGCTCAAACCTCACCTCTGCCAGATCCCATCCCCGAGAGTGCTAAGGCCTTCCCTCCCTCGTATTCATTCCGTACACAGACACCCTCTGAGGGAACGTAAGCTCCTCGAAGGCAGGGATCACTTCCTTCCTTGTATTTGTGACTCTAGTAAGTATTTCCTTAATAAATGCTTGTCGATGGTTTAGTAAAAAAGGGCCAATATAAGAGCTCCAAGAAGTAGGGGAAGGCTTTTACAAACTGAGGCAAAGAGAAGAGAGCAAAATTCATATGATTACTCTGAGAATGTCGAGGAAAACAGCCCTAAAAAGCAGCCAGACTCAGGTCAGATGCTGAGACCAACACTGTCAGCGGAGGGCAGGGGCAGGATGTAAAAAGCCTCCCTCCTCCTGCAAGGATGGGCCAGGCCTAGGCTGAGGAAGGTTCCAAGGTCGGGATAGACTGGGTACATGACTATGACGGCACAGCAGGGACACTGCCTTCCATCCCTGGAGGCGGCTGGCCTGTGCTGACTCACGTGACCAGGGAGCCAGGGAGAAGCAAGGGGCAGGACAGAGGAACACGGTGGGGAGCAGTCTCCCTGCAGCTCAGCTGTCAGACCCGAGGCGGGAGGCAGCGTGAGAAAGCCTGGGCTGAGGATCTCAGCCACACCCGCCTCACTTGGGGCACAGAAGAGCTTGGCCCCGCCCCGTGGGTCCCCGACAGGCAGAAAATGGACATTTCACGAGGCCCTCTTTTACAGATACCTTTGTCCCCGAGGAACCAGGGTCTGGCTGGCCCAGCCCCCCCTCCCGCTCCCGACTTCTTCACTAGCCTTCTGGCCCCGGCAGCAGGCGTGCTCAGCTCCACAGTGCAGGGGGGCACATTTGGGGTCACTGCCCCCACGAGGTACATGGCATTGCTCGGCCAGGCTGTTACGCCCCCACGCCGGGGCCTCAGGCTTCTGAGGAGGTCAGGGCTGCCCTTGCGCCTTCACCGCTGGGATTACGGTGGCTGTTCCAGGGACAGAGGTTTTGCCTGATGCCACCAGCAACCACAGCCCCCCTCGCAGTCAGGGAGCACACGCGGGCCACCCTCTAGGACACCGCCCAATCGGCCGCTTGTCCGGCCCATGCAGACCAAGGCTAAATGGCCAAGACAGAAGGCAGAGCTGAAAGGGGTCTTTCCAGCGCCTTCATCCTGCAGATGCCGGGGCGCTCCGGCGGCAATGCCCCCCCAGCACATGCAGGGGGCTCCAGGGTGCGAGGAGGCTCAGCCACCCTCCAACACCAGCCCCCGGGGGGACGGTCTTCTCACCTTCTCCCTCCTGGAGGGCCTTCTGATCCCCGACGGCTTCCGGCACCAGCTTGGCATAAGAGTGTCTCTCGCTAGAATCAAACTTCACTGTATCAAAATAGACAGAACCGTTGGACACGTAACTGGGAAGTAAAAGATAAAAAAAAAAAAAGAATTAGTCGGTCCTATCAAAACACAGCGGTAGGTGTCGTGACTCTGGAGTCAGGACCTGGGTTCAAATCCTGCCTCTAATGACCTTCTATCCAAATGACCTTGGGCAAGTCACTCCCCCCAGGCCTCAGCTTCCTCCTCTGTCAAAGGAGGCGGCTGGCTAGATGACCTCTACGTCCTCTCTCTGTGGAACATCAGCATGAAGCTGCTTGGGGCACAGCGAGTCCTCCAGAACACATTATGGGGACCTGGGACCGGAGCAGAGTGTCAGGGAATCTGCAGGGAGGGGCACAGCCTCCACATGATCTGCGTTCAGGCACAGCTCTTCGGCCTTGACAGACTTCTCTTGACCCTCCTCCTGGGGGCCAAACAAATTCCTAAAGTTAGCGGGTCTCAAGAGGCGGCCAACGGTCACTCCACAGGCCAAAAGCCTTGCGAGGCCTGCTATCAGGGTGGCACGGGAAACGGGATCTCGTGCCTTGAGATCTGGGCTGTGTCCGTGCGCTTCCTCTCTGGACTGCCCTCAGCTCAGATGCTGCGAGCCAGGCTGTTCAGCTTTCTCTGGGGGCTCGTTTGGGGTTTCTTTGAGTCCCCTGTGCCTTGTTTTGTTAATGTGGAGTTTGACATTTTTGTGAACATTTGTCCATTTCATTTGGATCGCCAGATTTATTGGCATATAATTGGGTGAAACGGTTCCTAATAACGTCTTTCATGTCTTCTTCTTTGATTTCTAGTTTTTCTCACTACATGTCCAATCTCTCATTCTGATTTCGTTTTTTTAACAGATGAAGACCTCCTCCTCAGTCCTCATGGGATCTGTGACCGGCACAGGTGAGTGACGGCTGCCAGGCAGCACCTGCTGTTCCCACCTCCTGCGCAAGGGTGAGCCCCCCGTCTGGGACCTGACCCTGGTCAGCCTCAGTCCTTTCACAGCCCACAGACGCCTGCCCAGTGCTCATCTCCAGTATCTCCAGCCCTCTGTCTCCCTATCCTGACCTAAGCTGACCTCCCTGTGGTTTCTCCTTGGATTTCTGCATCAGGACATGGTCTGGGGGTGTCATCGAGCTAACTGCACCGCTTCCCCGTGATTCGCCACCTCGGGCTCACTTCCTGAGGATGACTTCCTCCTATCGCTGCTGAGGGCACTGCCCGCCCTGCCACCGCCCAGGTTTGCTGCCAGGGTGTCATCCTTGACGCTTACTCTCAGCCACCCCACAGCCCTAATCCATCACCAAACCCTGCCGTTCCTATCTTCACACCACCCCTCGTATACGGTCCCTTCTCTTCACTCACACAGCCACGATCTTGGCTCTGGCCCTCATCACCTCCTGCCCTGACTGCTGTAAAAGCCTCAAGGCTCTCCCCATGCTAACCCATCCTCCACAAAGCCACCAAAGCGCGGGTCGGACCAAGCCACTCCCAACCAGCGGCAGGATGCCCTCGCAATCTCTCTGGGCGGCCTTTCTGGCTTCTCACCACCTGGCCCCTTGGGCCTCTCCACACACGCTAGGAACACACCATCTTCCGTTCCTGTGCCTGGGCAGTGGCTGGCCTCCAGACTCAGCTCTCAGTCCCGTCCCTCCGCAGGAGGCCCATCCCACTGTGATGACCTTGGATCTTTGCATGTACCTCGTGCGCGCTGATGTAGGTAAGCGATGCAGCCCCTATCAGAGCACACGGCTTGCTTGCCTTTTGTCTCTTCACCCCGACACTTAGCCCAGAGCTGACACGCAGCAGGAGCTTAATAAATGTTGAAGCGATCGCCTGGTCAAGGAGGAAGCCTGGGGAGGATGTGCGGGAGCCCAGCCCCAGGTCCAGCCTGGCCTGGAGCACCATTATTTGCACAGGTTGCAGCTCCCCACTGGGCTGTGAGCTGCACGTGCCCGGAACCCAGAGCGTCCACACTGTCCACATGCCCCGAGAATGCACGGTGGACCTCATGTGCAGGAGCACAATGCCACCACAAGGGGGCGCACAAGCGTTGCCTTTTACAGTGCTCTGGTCATGGACCGGCCAGCCCACCCTGATGAGCTCCCCGACATTGCCGGGGATTCCCTAAGTCCCGGAACGTCGGGAGGTCGGAGGGCTGGGCTGGAGCTTGGCTAACTTCCCTTCCTGGTCAAGCACAAACTCCCACAACCCCGGTCACTTAAGAGAGAGCCCCGGGCCCTGGGCACCGGACGGCACCAGCTGCGGCTCATCTGGGAATGCTTCCCATGGGAAGCACCATCAACTTCTGAGTCACTCAAGAGAGCGTCTGATGCACACGAAAAGTAAGTGACTCACGTTCTCCGTACAGACCCCGTGAGCCCCCACGTCCCAGAAGGGAAGACCGAGGCTGGCCGAGGCTCCACCCCACCCCCTAGTCCCCTTGGCTTCCTTCCCGTCACAGCTCACAGGCCACCTTCTGCGGCCCCCAGTGCTAGGGCCTTCCACCTACTCTATCTGCACGCCCCTCGTCAGCCCCGTGTTCCCCCCCGCGGCGCTGGGGGCTCTTTGAAAGCAAGGGCTGCGGTTATGTCTTTCTTTGTGTCTTCCACACGTGACTGCAAGTCCAAGGCTCTTTCCCAGAATGACCCGTGGGGCCCCCAGACCAGCTGTCGGGGCGACGGGGGTGGGGGTGGGGGGGCGGCTTCTATTTCACTTAGTGAAACTAAAGGCTAAGTCACTCCAAGAGTGCAGGAACCATGGCTCACTGCATGCTGGGCATCACCGGAGAGGAACAAGCCACGGCAGGCAGCCCCCCACCCTGGGAGAGCGCGGGGAAGTTGCCTGCAGGCCCCGTCGAGGCAGGGAGGCTCAGAGGCCTGGGCACCGGGCTGGAGTGACCACACGCTCCCCCCGCGAGCCGCCCCGGCTGCTGGGACGATGAAGCCGTGCCACTCGGCCACGGTGACCGCGCCTCTACACTATGCGATCAGCGACGCCACCCGTGACATTCCGCCACGGCCTCCTGGGGACGCCCAGGCCTCTCTCCTGGCCCTCTTCTACTCTGCCTCGCCACGATCGCACCTACGTCGTGAGCCCCCACCAGGCGAGCATGCATGTATTAAGTGCCCACTACGTGTGAGACCCTCACTGCGCCACAGGTTCCAACAGCATTTCCAAACGCGGTAAAGCCAGCTGGCATCTCGGTCCATCGCCCGGCACCCGCTGGATCCCTCTGGGACGAGCCGCAGGCATCTCAGACTCGGGATGTCTGACACAGAGCTCGGCATCTTCCCCTGAAGCCCGCCCGTCCTCCAGACTGCACCAGGGTCCATCCCACACGTCCCACAATCAGCCACGTGCCCAGACTCCTCCCCTCGGGCCCCCTCCCATCCTCTCCGCCCAGACACGACCGAGGTCAAACACGACGGCCTCTTCCCTGGCTTCCCCGCTTCCAGGCTCTCTCCCTTCCCACTCTGCCCTCCCCATGGCTGCCGAAGGAAGCTTTCTAACGTCTGGATGAGGGACGTGAACCGAGGGCCAGAGGGCCCTCGGGATCACGGAGCCCTTCACCTAGATGGGGCCTCGCGCTCAGGCCGGCTCGGCCGCTCACCCGTAGCCGTTGTCCACAATCTTCTGAACGAAGCGCACGATCTCAGGCACGTATTCACTGACGCGAGTTAAGACGTCCGGAGGGAGCACCTGCGGGCGACGAGAAACGAGATGGGGATGGGCCAGACGCATCGGGGGGACGAGTCCCCGGGAGGCCCCCACGTCCCTGCACGGCACAGACACAGACACAGACAAAAACCCTCAGTTTCATGTGGCGGCTGTACAGTCGTTTCAGCCACATCGAACTCATGACCCCATTTAGGGTTTTCTGAGCAGAGACACTGGAGGGGTTTGCCATTTCCTTCTCCAGTTTATTTTACAGGTGAGGAAACTGAGGCAAACGGGGTGAAGTGACTTGCCCGGGATCACACAGCTAGTATGTGTCTGAGGTTGGATTTGAACTCGGGTCTTCCTGACTCCAGGCCCAGCGCTCTATCCACTGTGCCGCCTAGCTGCCCTACGGCCTACAGCCTATGTCTATGACAGCAGAATAAAAGAAAAAATGGAAAAATGGGTTGAGCATCCCCATTCTGAACAAAATGAAACTGAGTCACACACAAAGAGGTGAAGAGATTGCCCTGTCTTCAGCGGTCTTTCCACTAACCTGCGTGGCTTCTACGACACTCTATGCACAGAGAGGCAGCCAGGGGTGCCACAGTGCCTGGAGCGCCAGGTCCCTCTACAATCCCACCTTCTCCAGGAAGCCCTCCTGGGTTCCTCCCTAATGTCCAGAGCAGTTGGCACATTGCCTCCCTCACTAGGATGGGAGCTCCCGCAGGGCATGGGCGGGCCTGGCACTCGCACTAACTGACAGATAGGCGCGCACCGCCCAGACTCACGTTCAGGGCCTCCATGTCCTTGTGGAAGTCCGCCTCCCAGAACTGCGGGAGCTCCGAGAAGATGGAGTTGTCCGTCACCTGGGAGCCCAGCCGGGAATCGAGCCAGTCAGAAAGCAGGTCCTTGGCCTTCTCCAACAGCGCCTGAGGGGAGCGAGCGGAGGGCCAGTGACCAGTGCGCTCCGTCTGCCTGCGTCAGCTTCCCTGAGCTATCACGTTCAGAGTCAACCACCGACTGCTCTGAGTGTGCATGGGGTACACGGGGAGGGGGCCTCCATCTCAGGAATCTGCACCCAAGACCCCAGCACGGTGGCCACGCACAAAGCCTGTGGCCTAGAACGGGCCCAGGAGCATCCACAACCCCAGGAACAAAGGGACAGGAGTGGGAGGAGAAGGGATCCCCACAGAGGAGAGGTAAGATCCCCACTCGGGCAGAAGGTAAAAAAGGAGTGAGCCCCAGGCGCTGGGTATGGCCTGGGCAAAGGTGTGGAGATGGGAGATGGGTGTAGAGGACAGGGAGCAGCAAGGCCGTGGTGGGGTTAGAGGGCGGTGCCCAGAACATAGTAGGTGCTTAATCACCGTGTGCTGACTCCTGACTAGGGTGGGGGGTGGGTGCTAAGCCTGGAAAGGCAAGTCAAGCCTGCTGACAAAGTGTCCAAGAGGCAGTGACGGCCGGCGCCCAGCCCTGGGATGTCTGGGGACGGGGAGCGGAGTGGTCGGGGGGGGGCTCACGAGGCCCACCTCAGCACAGGCGTCCACCTCCTCTCCCGATGCGTTTCTTTGCACGAGTCTGGCCAGTGGCTCTACCGCCAGCTGCACGGCGTCCTGGATCCGTTCCAGCATCTGCTTTTTGTCAGGATCGGTGGTCGCGTTTAACTTGAGAGTAAAGGGCTGCCGCAGGAAAGGGGGAGAGACTGTCAGAAAAAGCCTGAGGCCCTCCCAAGGTTCCCAGCTAGCCTGGCCCGCAGAGACCCCTTCCTTCCTGCTTCCTTTCGCCAGAGAGATGGCGAGGGCTGGCCCTTGGACCTGACTGGGCTCCCAGGGCATGGTCTGACCCCTGCGTCACCCTCCCCTCCAGCTTCCCCAGATTTTAGGATGACTCAATGCTCGTGACACACGCTCCCAGGAAAGGGGGGGCTATCAGGGAACAGGGGCACCCCTATGCAGCCAAAGCAGAGAAGGAGGATGCTTCAGGCCCGAAGGGGCTGCAATCCACACTGGTGGAAGGACAAAACTCATCAGCAGTAGTGATGCTGCAGGAGTCTAAGGGGTCCCTCACCCCCTGGGGGGCACGAGGCTTCCTCAGGGCCCTGGGGAGAGAGAACCAGGCTGCTGCTGGCTTTCCCTGGGGGCTCCTCAGGCCTTCCCGGCAAACCTCTAAGTGGCCAGGACCTGCCAGGAAGCCTCCACACTCTATCCCCAGCGAGAAGTCTGCTATGAGCGGGCACAAACCTTCAGGGCGGTCGCCACGTCTTCGAGGAGCTGGGTCACGTGCGGCTTCTTTTCCCGGTACTGCTCAAAGAGGTGGTTCTGTCGTGCTCTCTTGATGATCTGTAGGCGGTGGGGAAGTTCACCCGGTGACCCAGAGCCGCGCTGGACGTCCCAGACTACGGACACCTTTCCTAATCCCTCTCCCACCAATTCCCTCAGGCTCGTTCTGTCCAGATCCCTGGTCTCCCCGGATGAGCAGAAACCACGTCGGTTTGTCTCTGCAACCCTGGTCCTTTGCACAATGCCTGGCACACAGCCGGCATTTAACAAGTGTGAAAGGAACATGGGTTTACAACCTCAGCTAGGTCCTGGAGCCCTCCTCGGCCCTAAACTGCATCACCTGTAAAATGGGGAGGTGGGATGGGGTCTCTCTCCCAGCCCTCCAAGCCGGGGGTGCCTCTCCAGCAGAGAACATAGCACAGCTCAGCAGGCAGCTGCCACCTCCTGCCTCTGTCCCCTACTCCCTACTGCATGACCTCGGACAGCTCACTTCACTCCCCTGGGCCTGGCCAGCTCCACCGGGGGATCCTGTGGCCCCACTCCCCTGCTCCATTCTGGGCTTCCTCTCACCCTCCTGTTCTGGCCCCCCTTCACTGAGGCCAGGAAGAGGTCCCCGTGCTTGGTCCCGAAGTGGGCACTGGGCACGGGTGCCCACGGTCCTTCCAATCGCCAGGATGACCACAACCTCCTCAAGGTCCCCTTGACTTCTCCGCTTCCTCACTTACCTTATCATCAATATCCGTAATGTTCATGCAGTAGAAGACATCGTATTTAAAATAATCCCGCAGCACTCGCCTCAGGATGTCAAATGAGATGTACGACCTACAAGCATTCAAGAGAGAGCAAAATCTTCCTCAAGCTGGACACCAAGCACACAGTCAGGACAGTTAAACTTGGCTGAGGTGTGGCGACCGCGGTCCAATGGCCTCCCAGCACCTGTGCCATGCGCATGGTGACTACGGCTCAGTGGCCTCCCAGCACACACCCATGCCTGCTTGTCACCATGACCATCTTCAGGTCTGACCTCTTACTAAGGCCCAGAGTCTGATGGGGGTGGGGGGTGGGCCCACAGGACCTTAAAGGTCAAAACCACAACCTCCAGGAGCTGCTCCTCCCGCCCCAGCGTCCTGTTGCTCTGCCAACCAGAGTAAGTTGCCCAAGCTCCCTCCAAGCTCCAGCCCTGGGTGGCTTTTAATCTGCATATACAGTAACCCCACTACCCAGACAGCTAGTGAAAGGCCCCACCTGGCGTGGCCCATGTGGGAGGCATCGTACACAGTCGGTCCACAGCAGTACCAGGTCACTCTCCTTCCTTGCTGCGGCACAAACTCATCCTAAGGAATGAAGAGATGGGGTCAGAAGGCACCTGAGGGCACCAGGGACAAGCCCCGAGGCCAGGCTCACGTGCAATGGGACAGGGGCCACTCAGCTTGATGGGGGAGTGACCCTCAAGTTGCCCAGGGAAGACGTATGCACAGGCCACTTCCCGTCAGCAGCCAGACACGGGGCCAGAAGCTTTGACTGCCCTGCCACGTGACCTGGCTGAGCTACAGCCAAGCCCACGCTGATCTCTAGGCTGCTGAAGAGCACCCGTCTGAGAGGAGGTACCACCGCGACCCGACCCAACCATGGCCAAAGGCCGCATCCGCAGACACCAGCCACAGGCCAGAGCCCTGGGCAGGGGAGGCCAGACGAGGAGGCCCAGGGGCCTTTGAAACCACCACCCTGGGGCTCAGTGTGCTCCCCCAGGTCACATGCCTTCCTGAGGACAGTCCTAAGGGAACGCCCTCCACCTCTCAGCTCCCAGCCCTTCCTGGCCAGTCGAGTATCCGAGCTCTCTCCTGGTGCAGGGGACTTTCCCCAGCCCCTTCCCAGCTGCTTATGCCTTCTCCGCTGACATCCCATCCGTCCCCTCTATACCTTTAGAAGGAGAGGCCCTTGGCAGCCGGCCTGTGTTTGCCTGTCTCTGTAGCCTCAGCTCTTGGCAAAGGGCCTGGATAAAGCCCTGGGCCCCGACTAATGAGTTTCTCCCTTTGGTCATTCAAATTCACCCAAGTCTAAGACGGCCCGGTGGCTGCTCCACCGGTACCCCCACCACCCACCCGGCCACGAGCTGGTGGCCGCAGAAGAATCCTGCACATGGCTGTGCCTGGTACATCCCTAGGTCATGGTTCCCATGCAGAAGAAAGCCCTGAAGGCATTTCATCCAGACTTCAGAAATTCTCTCCCAGACCACTGAGAGGGAGAGCCCGGGGGAAGCTGGGGGAGCCAGGGGAGGGGTCCTGCCAATCTTCTGCCTGGCTGAGGGGGCTCCAATGGGAAGAGCTGGGATGGGAGCTCCTCCCTGGGGACTCACTCACCTTGCTGCGGGTTAGGCTGTTGTACAGGCGCAGTTTACAGGGTTCAGATCCGGCTGGAGGAGACCACTGAGGCCGGGCGCGCCGGCCCTTACCTAGAAAGGAAGCGAGCAGCGTCAGCCCTCCTTTCAAGGCTCCTGGCCACCCGTCAGCGTTCAGGGGCTGGCCTCCTCCGGGGTTTTCAGGAAGGAAATCGACTTCTCTGCCGAAATACACGTGGAGATGAGGAGTCCTGCTCTGACTGGGCTTGTTCACGGCCTGAAGGCTGGGCCCTTACACTCCCAGCAGGCCAGAGGACCCCACATGCCCACCTCTCCAGGAACAAGCAGCCTGAGTGACTGGTTGGGGCGAGGATAATTGAGTCACTGGGAAAACTGCAGAGGAACTGGGCCCCAGCCTTGGGCCTGCCTGCCACGCTTCCCAGGGAATCGGACGCAGAGCTGGCCTGCCCAGCGCCTCCGATGTCTACTGTCATGAGAGCCTGGAGACAAACTGGCAGAAGGGATCTTCGGGCCTCTCCCTGCTTTCACTGGAGACGCGATTCACCTCCAACCACTCAGGAAGGACAGCCTCCAGACGCTTACGGGCGCCTCACTGAAGATGGATTTCCTAAGCCCCCACCACTCACTCCTCCCTCTCTCTAAGCAGCCATGTCCCCGGTTAGCAGAACTCAAACAAGTTTGGCATCTAATTAAATTGCTGTGTGTTTTTAATAATGCTATTTTAACTTCTTCCTGGGGGGAGGGGAACCCCTGATCATATGACTGTAGAAGAAAACCTCCTTTGGAACCTTCTCTACTGAGACAAAATGGCGGCCAAGTGTTGGTGACCTCTTCTTTAAGACTGGCCTGGGGCCCACGGGGGCAAAGGTTGCCAAGATCCGAGGCAGAGACTGAGGGCTCAGGGGCCTCAGATACCACCTCGTCCACCCAGGCCCTCTTAGGGATGGAGGTCAGCGCCCACACGGGAGTTAGAGGCTGGGCCCCGGCCTCTTGATCTCACTTCACAGAGCCACAGGTATGAAAGGAGGCTGTTTTTAAAACTGTCACATGAAATGGAACCAGAAAGACGGAGCAGAGACTGGGCAAAGGGGCCAAGCTCCTCCCATTCCGTGTTCAGAGTTCCACCAACACTGCAATGAATGTGCCCGCGTGCGGCTTTGGGCAGATGCTCCCTTCAATCATCAGAACTTCAACATGCCTTCTTCCTCTGGCCTGTGTTCACGGCCCCATTCAAACCAGACCCAATGGCCAAGTCGAGGTCCCTGGGAGTCCCAGTAAAAGGCCGAGAACGGATGATTGACTAGTGACCAACTTAATCAAAGTCAGAGACGGCGCAGCCCGAGAGCCGGGCTCTGCTTTTCAGCAAGAACAGGTTGCACCTGGCTCCCCCGGCTCCGGTTCTGACGAGGTCCGTCACAGGAGATCAGGGGACACCACATAGGTGCTTCACCAAGATGAGTCTTGGGGAAATGGTAAGCAGCTCTGGGCCCCAGCACTATGAGAGGCATTGGAGGTGGGCTAAATGATGACGGTCAGGCCTCCGGGGAGGGCCCCAGGGACCTGGATAAAGGCACCGACTACAAAGGGCCGGGAAAGGTGACTGCCGTGCTGACGGACAGCTTCAGGATCCAAAAAGGCTGACGGGCTGGAGAGAACCCTGGGTCAAGCTGAGCAAGAGGAAATTTAAGAAGGATAAACACAAAGTCTTAAACTTAGGTTAAAAAAATCTGTTTTACTAGTACAAGATGGAGGAAGTAATTTGTCTGAAAAAGATCTGGGGGTCTGGGTGGACAGCAAGTTCACTGGGCATCAACCATGTGATATGGCAGCCCCCCCAGAGCTAACTTTGACCTTGGAACTTCCAGGAATAAAGAGGCGAGAGTCACTGTCAAGCCCCACCAAGAGCATGGAGGTCAGTTCTGGGAGCATTTTAGAAATTCAATTTCAGTCAATAAACATTTATTAAGCTCCTATGATGTGCAAACCAGGAAGGCAGGTGCAAGCTGGGCACATGAAGACCAGGACGGAGGAAGCAGGGGAGCGGGGGGGCACCAGGGCATGAAGAGCAGGAAGACCTCCAGACACAGGCAAGATTTATCCTGGTCGGGGAGTGGGGAGTAAGCGACTGGGACCCAAGGACAAAGGCCCCCAACTTCAATAAATCTGTGGAAAGCCCGGAGGTTTAACAGGGCCCGGGTCAAGCCCCACCCACCCCCTCCTAGATGAGGAGTCTGAGGTTCAGAGAGGCTCAGAGAAGGAGCCTCAGTGACAGGGCCGTGAAGGGAGGGGCCAGGGGCTCTGTGCTTGGGGCTCTGGCTCTTGCGTTCGCAAACCCTGGCCTGGATACAGAGCTTGGCACACAGGGAAGGCTTTTTCATTCATTCATGCATTCCTTCATTCCTCTGCATGGTTTTGTGGTCCACAGGTGGAAGGATCCATGGGATGATAACAAAACAGAAAGGAGAGGAGAGGAAGGGTGTGTGTATATGTGCGCGCACGTGTGCGTGTGTGAGCGTGTGCGCGTGTGCGTGAAGCCAGCCAGGGACCCCTTTCTTCCTCCCTCTCAGGAGCTGCAGTGAGTTCCCAGGTGGGACCCAGGTGACCTCAACATTATCAAGCTACGGGAGCCTGACGGGCTGGTTTGTAATTAAGTCCCATTCAGCAGCTTGAAGAAGCTCATGGTCTCCTAACAGCCCCGGCGGGCACGGTGAGCCGACCACCCACTTTCCGACTTGCGGCCCACCCGACCCAACAGGACCGTGTGCCTCGCCCAGAACTGTCCCAGGCTCTCTATCTATGCACTCAGCCTGTCCCTGAGGCCTCTGTGGGGGCGGGGCTTCAGTCTCTTCCTTCTGCCTCAAACCCAAGGCCAGGTGACAGGAAGCACAAGAGAGAATGGGTCAGGCACCCAGAGGAGTTCTGACCTAGGTAACATCTTAAGGAAACCCAATAGAAAAAACCCAAATCTATGATGTCCATGCACACGACCAAGGTATCACAGAAAAGACTCTAGGCCTGGATTTCCCTGAGAGCCCACTTGGGGTGGGAGGCCCACTGAGCAAAGCAGGACGCCCCTGGAGAAGCCAGAGGCTGCCAGGCCCTGGTGCCTCTGCCCAGGGCTCCTCACGGCTGTGAAAGCTCAGCTGGGATGGGAAAAGCTAGAAACCACAGCCCGGGCCCCAAACAGAACCTATGTCCCCAAACTAGCCAATGCTAGCCATCTTATTAACTCTCAGAGTGGCCTCATTTAACTGGCTAAATGCTCTCTGTAATTACGGGGACTTTCATGCCCAGCCCTGCCCTAACGCCAGGCTACCTCGCTCTCTCTCCTGGGGGATTACAAGGCCAGTGTCTAACTCCTAAGATGAAAGGTGCTTCCTGACAGCTAGGCCTCATTAGACATGCCAGGCACATGATGCTCAAAGCCACTGCCGTGTCCTGGGGGAGGCGAGCCCCATCTCAATCTGAGGCTGTGAGGCCACACTCCTGGAGGGGGCTGTCCAGCTGTCACCACAGGGCCAATGAGCAGAGCCCCACGTACAGATGTGCCAACAGCTGAGCCCGGGTCCCAAGGAGTCATGAGGAATGCATAGACGAGACAGAGCCAGCCACCGAGGGGACGATGACCACAGATGAAATGGACAGTGGTCATCACAGATGGGTCAAGGAAGGAGCCAGAGCCCTGGGTGACGCACAGAACGTGATCGTCTCAAACATGCTGGCCATTAACTGAGCATTCTCCTCTGGGGACCCAGCTCACAGAGGCTTTCCAGCACGCGTACTCCCAAACATAAGCAGACACACACTGAAACCAAAGGTCACCAAGCCAGTCTGTGTCAGGACAGGCAGAGCCAGACCTCAGAGATCACCTTGTCTGACCCTTGCCCTTTACCCCTGAGGAAACACAGAGTGACTTGTCCAAGGTCACACCGCTAGAGAGCAACATGGCTGACTGCTGAACACTCGCTCCCCTCCCTTCATCAGAAACTGATAATCAGTTATGGATTTGGGGGGGGGTGTGGGGGGGGGTTCCCAACCTCCTAAGCCTTACAGTCTCAAACACCTGCCACATTGTGGGACCCCGGGCTAGGCAGCAAGAATGAGATCAAGGGAAAGCCAAGTTCCACATGCAGACACAGCAGCGCCAGCAGACGGACAGGGCCCCACTGCTCTCCAGCTCGGCCACCCTCCACGGACCCCGAAGGGACAAGGCGCCAGGCCTGCCCCAGTATTAGAGACACGCTGTCACTGAGGTGGATTCCAGAACTTCCAGATGCCTGGGGCAGGATCTGGCCAGCGCCCACGGCGGCCCAAAGCACGCCACGGTCGCCACACAGGGGCCACTCCTCCCTGGGCCAGTGAGCGCATGGGAGTCTCGGGCCCATCTCCAAGGTGACTTTGGCTCCGGGCGATACAAAGCAAACAAGTCATTGGTATTGGCTGAGCAGGCCTCCCAGATGGGGCCCCATGCCCCTCGGGTGCTGGGCACACAGACACAAACAGAATGACCAAAGCCAGCCTTGCACAGGCCGGTCTGAGTGGCTAAGGGGCTGAGCCTCTCGGCCGCCCCTCCTCGCACGGTCTTACTCACTTGTTTGCAGTCTACAAGGCTCCTGCGTGCCAGGGCTCCCGCCAGCCAGGGCGTGGATGTGCCTGAACCAGCGGGCCACGTGGAAATGCTGGTCCCCAGGCGGGTCTGTAAACTGCCTGAAGGCTTCCACATCTGCCTGGGAGAAGGTGTGGCCCTGCAGGTAGCTACGGCTGCTGAGGTACTCATTCAAAGCCTTCACCCTGGCCCCTTCTTCACTAATGCTCAGAATAAAACTGTAGCCGGGAGCTGTGAAAACAGAGGGACAAGACATCAGTCAGGAATGAGTGTCCAGCAACCCACAAAGGGCTCAAAAAGGAGCTAGGTGGGCTCGTCCTTGCCTTCAGCCCAAAGGCAGGGCTGCTGAAGGCCTTAGCCCAGTGTCCAAAAGACTGCAAACTCCTGCCGGGCCAGCTGGGGGAGGGTCCAGGGAGAACCACACCTCTGCCTGAGGCTCTCCCAGAAAAGCTGCCCTCGGTCAGCTCCCATTCTGGGCCTTTCACTCTCCCTGGGTGCCCACCAGAGCAGGAATTCCTGGATGTTTAGGGACCCTCCTGGCAACAAGCCGGATGGGAAGTACTGCACGAGGTCCAGAAGAAGCACCGTTCTCCTCACTTGGGAATGTTCTAGGGCCTGTCCTGCCTCCTGATTCCCTCCCCCCCACTTCCCTCACTCTCGGCCTCCTCCCCAGGCACTAGCTTCCTGGCCAGGCCCCCAACCCTTCACCCCGACTCTGAAAAGCTTACAGGATGATCCAGAAAACACCTGGAGATGGTTCTGTCTGAGCCGCTCCTTGGACAAATGAGGAGCCAGAGACGGGTGAAGGACCTGGCCAAGGGCCAGGACAGGAAGGGTGTGCTGGAAGGCCCCGGCTCTCTCTGGCACATCTCAGCGCCTCCCTCCTCTCCTCCAAGGGTACGTGTCTAACGTCAGCAAAAGGAAAATACTGACTTCCAAGGGGCCTTCAAGAAATAATGGGCGGAAATAGTCTTCTCAACACTATGATTTTTAAGACTAGTGAGAATCTGCATGGTGGTTTTATACAGGTAAAGTGAGCCTGCCCTTCCTCCCTTCCTTCCCTCCTTCTCCCTCTCTCTGTCTCTGTGTCTCTCTGTCTCTCTCTGTCTCTGTGTCTCTCTGTCTCTCTCTCCTGCCTCCCTCCTTGTATTTGAGAGTTCATTAAGCAAACAGCACCTTGATTCTGACACATTCCTGTACAGGTGTGCGTCCACATCGAAGAGAATTTCCCCCATGAACACTCATGCATTTTGTGCCAAAAAAGAAAATTTTCAATCAAAAGACTCCTGGAGGTCCTTGTTTCCCCAGTGAAGAAGTCTCTGGCAGCCGTCCTTAGGGATCCCAGTTCCAGAGCTAAGAGGCGCACAGCTGGTCCCCACACGAGCTCCTCGGGGATGGGTGCTAAGATGTCACTGACTCACATCAAACATACGTGGTGAGGTAGGGCGGTGCTTTGGCACAGGGCACATTACAGGAGCTGGGGGGGCTTCAGCACCGGCTCCCTAGGCCAACAGGACTGTTTTTATCCTCATAACCACGGAACTTGCTTTGGCCTCAACATGCCATCCATATACGTATAAGTTTAATCAATCTGCCATTGCTTGCACGACAATAGGTTAAAAGCAATAGTTTGGCTGCATTTCAGAAGAGATGAGGGCCATTCCCCAGAGTTCACACTACCTCACCTACATTCTCCCAAGTCTCGTTTCACAGACAAGTGGCCAAGAAGCGATGTGCCCAAGGTCACGGCCAGCTTCCAGTCATCACCCGATTTACGCGCGGTGGACAGCTGGACAGTGGCCAGAGTGAAAAGAACCCTCGGGCCACAATTCCAAAGACAGATGCCCCAGACAGTCACAGGCTAAAAAAACTTCTGGCAAGGAACCTGCCGAAGTCAGGGGAACAAGGTGCCACCAGCACAATGCAAAACACAGCGCGTTCAGGGTTAGGGTTAGTCTGGACTTCAATCCGCCTGACTAAAAAGCATTTCTCAACAGCTCTTAGGCTGTCCACAGTGTGGGGCAGACAAACACCCAGGAAGAGGCCAGGCCCCTCTGGGAGCTCTGGGTCTGGTGGGAGGAGGGCACAGCGGCCAGGCGAGGGAGGCCCCCGGCACGCACACAGTCAGGCGCTTCTTTCAGGCTACTTCTAGCCATAAAAGCACACCCATTCCTGATGCTGAATCACTGGTTGGCATCAAGGACCAGCTCCCTTCAGCTAAAATCCCACCTTCCATGGGAAGCCTTCCCTGACCCCCCCCCCCGTCAGTCTACAAGGTTCCCCGTTAGACTAGAAGCTCCTGGAGGGCTTAGACTGTCTTCTGCCTCTCTCTGTATCTGCAGCATCAGCATGGTCGCTGGCACATAGGTGTGCATGCTGAGGAAGTAGGGCCTGGAATACCTGCCACGTGTGGGTGCTGTGGGGACAAGCCGAAGCAGGCACGAGGCGGCCCTGAGGACGCTGCTCTTTGGAGGGCGTCGGGCCCAGTGTCCACATCTGTGTCTCTAAGGGTGTGACGGGAGTGAGCCGAGGTGGGAGCCCAGCCTGGTCAACCGCCAACACCAACTGCTGACCCGTATCCACGAACGGGACGTGCGCCAGCCCCGCCACCTCAGCTGCTGCTGCTGAAGCCACGCGGCGTCACCAAACATTTACGAGGCGCCTCCTGTGCCCGGCCCTCCCTCCCTTGTGGCAGTCAGCGGGGATGACCAGCCTCCGCTCCAGACACATTGCTTCCCAGAACAGTGGCCACGGGGCTTAGACCCGCGAGCGCCCACCGGCATAAATGGTGTTGTCCCAACAAGGGAATCTGAACAGGCACCCAACATGCCCTTAGCGCAATTCACGGCAGACACAGCACACTCGATAAAGTAAAGGTCCAAGGTGCAAACCCCAAGCCACGGACGCCTAGACCACTGAGGCCACAGAGACCCAGACCACTGAGAGGGGAACTTAGAGGCGCTCCGGACCAAGCCCATTATTGGACCGACCGAGAAATGTAGAGAAGGAACTTACCCAGGGACCTGAGGTGCCTGTGGGGAGCCTGGGCAAACAACGATTGTTATTTAGAAAGGGCCTCCCGGGGTCGGGGGTGGGGAGCCTTAAGCTACAAATAACCACTTCCTGGGTGCTATTTGTCACACTGATGCTCTGGCAAAGTGCCTTTAAGATGAGGATCTCAAAGCACCTACAACTTACGGCACGTGGCAAGCAGAATCTTCATTTCTAATAGGAGGAACAAGAAAGTGATTGAGGGGTCACGCTGCAGGCCCCTACCAAAGGGAGGTTTCTTCCAGGCCAATCCAACAGGCCTTAATTGCCGTGTGTGTATGTAAAGCATTATATAGGATGTGAGAGATACATAGATGAGCTGAAACACAGGGCCTGCCCTCAACAGGCTCACATTCTACATTGGGGGAGACGAGATAGCAAAAGAGAAGCAAACACAAAAGTGTGAGCAGGGCTAAGGGCCCAGCACCCGCCCACGCCCTCAATCGAGGCCTGCTGATTGACTGGAGTGATCCTCTGAGCGGGGGATTCCCAGCGTCTGAGGGGAGGAGGAGGGAGAGCATTCCAGGTCTGGGACCAGGAGAGAGCACAATGGTTCGAGGAAGGGACACAAGCCAGTTTGGCTGGAATACAGAGTCCACAAATTAGAGCAATTGAAGGGGAGCCATGGATCGCCTTCCACACTGTGGTACTATCAGCAGATTAGCTGCGGCCGGGCCCGTGCCACGGGGTGCCAAGAGAGCGTAGCTACCCACCTACGAGATCACAGAGCCATCAGTGAGCACAGGGGAGGAAAGTGGAGCCCAGTGGATCTGAAGGAACCTGTTGGGAGCGGGCTGGCTTCCGCGTGCTGGCCACGGACTGAAAGCAGGTCACGCACGGTCAACCCTGACTCAGAGCACGGTCAAACTGAACGGCAGCCCGGTGGGCAGTGCCACCCTGACGGCGTGCCCCAGCACAGTCAAGCCTCACCGAGCAGCCTGGCCCAGCCAGGCTTGTTTGCTCCCAAAGAGGAACCCACATTTTGCAACAAGCCTTGGGGTGCTTCTGTCCTCCTGTAAAATGCACAACCGTGACTCACAACTCCAAAGGAAGGCCTATTGGAGGGTGGCGGTCTTATTCACTTCTGGACTTTGTTCTGGGAAGGCTTCCCTGGTCCGACTCCTCAGCGGCGCCCCCAGATAAGCCTGCCCCAATACAAGCTTTCTGGGTCCACGGGGAAAGCTAACTGGCTCCCACTTAAAGGGCTGCCCAGAGAAGGGAAAGAAGGAGCATGTCCCTTTGGCCAGTTCCTGCTGGAGAGGTCACCAGAGGAGCCAGAGCCTCCCCAACCGCTGCCGAAAGGCTTCCCGCTTTCCCAGAGGCCAGTCAACGCCACCCTAGCAGCAAAGGGCCTCTGGGAATTCCAGCCCAGACACCAGCACCAGGGACAAAGGCCCAGACACCACCAGGAGTGACGAGGATCCAGCAGTAACATGGGCCCTTAGGCCACTCTCAGATCGCAAAGGAATGCAAAAACTTCATGGAAATAGAAGGGAACCAATGAACTGCTCGTGGCCAGAGTGCAGCTTGCCAGCCAACCTGGGGGGGCTGCTTTTCCTGAGGCCCACGTGGCTACCAGGGTTCAATTCCTCTCCCCCCTTTCCCTCCTCCTTCCTCCCCATCTCCTCTTCTTCCTCCTCCTCCTCCTCCTCCTCAGATGCTTCAGGCATTGTGCTTCAAGGCTTCCAGCCCCAACCTCGCAGCCCCCTGTACCCACAAATCCAGTGTCGCCCTTGAGCCCTCACTCTCTCCCCAGGGCGCCATTTCTACCCTTTCGACATCTCACCTATAGGACCCCTTGTCTCTACTCACACGTCCACCCCCTGGGCCACGGCCATCACCTCACACCAGGACTGCAGCCTAGCCCATCTGTCCAAAAACATGAGTGGGCCAGGCTGCTGGCTAAGAGCTGGGGATACAAAGAAAGGCAAAAGCCAGCCCCTGCCCTCAAGGAGTTCCCAATCTAATAGAGGAGATATACAAACAGTTATTTAGGCACCAGAAGGAGGAGGGGCTGGGAAAGGCAATCTGGCTTCACTCTCTGGCTCTGAGACTACAGGGGCTCCCTGTTACCTCTAGTACCAAAGAGAAATGCTCTGCGTGGCTTTTAAAGGGGTAGGGAAGGGAATAAACGTGTTATGCAGCACTTTCCATTTGCAGGCACTTTATAAGCCGGATCTCATCTGATCCTTACAACAACCCTGTTACCATCCACATTTTACAGATGAGGTCACTGCTGAAGACCAGCTTTCACCAGAGAGCCTGGATCCCTGGGTCCCAGGCAGAGGCCAATGGGGCACAGGACTCCATCCACAGCAGCCCCCCACAACAGCAGCCTGCCCCTCCTCCCCCCTAAGCTCTTGGGGCAGCCAGGTCCTCTGTGTCTCCCCAGTAACCGACAGGGCTGGACCCCGTTAGCTTCTCCTGCACTGCGAAGGGAACCATCCTCCTGAACTCAGTGCCACCCCAGTCAGGGACTTCTTGCTCTAAATAAAGAATTAAGAGTAGGGCGCAGAGAAGCCAGGGGAAGCTGAATAATCTAAATGCCCCCTCACACTGCCTGCCTGCCAGCAGCCTAAGTGGGCCCCAGGAGCCGAGAAAGCTGAGATCACCCTCTTGACCCGGAAGCTCTGGATGGGTCATTACAGTTTCCAGGGCTTCACTCCACAAAGCTGGGCCCAGGAGGCTTTGGTTAATGAATGGGGAGCCTGGTATGAGGGCGCTCATGAAGCCAATCAGAGGGAGCTTTTACGGGTTACCTGAGGCTCTCCGTCCCTGGAGGTGCTGTGAGGCCACCCCTGTCCTCTCATTACCACCCACCTGCCTCCCCACCCCATCCATCACTCAGCGTCCTTCCTGACCCACGAATCAGGTGGTGCTAGCCAGCTCATATGCCTCTGGTCTGGCACTCGGGGCCCTGCCCTCTCCTCCACCCAAGCTCAGCATCCCTGGAATTTCTATTCAGCCTCCTAGGTCACCTCCTCCAGGAAGCCTGCCCTGAACCTCCCTGGTCTGTACCACCCCCAGGAAGGTTATTATTGTGATAGTTCCCTAGAAGGGCAGAGATTTCCCCCTCTTTCCTCCCCCCAGAGAGCCCAGGGCTCTAGGTCAGAATGGAGGCCAGTCATCCATCCCCCACTTCACCTTCCCCTTTGGGAAAGGGGTCTCGGCCCACCTGTCCAGATTCCCCAGAACATCCTCTTCTGTCCAGGGCCATTGGCCTCCAGCTGTCCTCATGCCTGAGGCACACTGATTCCTGCCCTCCGCAGCTTCTTTTCAGTCTCAGCTACAATCTCCCCTCCTCCAGGAAGCCTTCCCAGCCCCTCCTGATTGCAGGGCCTTCCCTGGAATTCTCCTGTCCAGAGCTTGCTTTGTACAGACCTGTGTTCGTTTCCCCATTAGACTGTAAGCTCCTTGAAGGTAGGAACCAAGCACGGCTCATAACAGGCAAGTGCTTAATAAATGTTATTGACTGGCCAATTGCTGGGAGCCACCCAGGAGTGGGTAAAGCAGCGAGGGCTGGAAAGGGCCACTTGGCACAACCACACCTTTTACAGTTGGAGAAACTGTGGCCCTCCCCCCCAAAAGGAAAGGCCCTTGCCAGGGAGGCCCTATGGACGGCTCTGTGATCTGGATGCCATGAGCACTCCTCTGGAAAGGCGGGTCAGTCTATCCACGCAGACACTCACCTTTGAGGTGATTCTGCTGGACAGCCGAGGGCTGGAGAGGAGACAAGCAGGTCACACCAGGGTCACAGCTGCTCACACTACCATCAAGCTGTATCTTCACTCAGGCCCCTGGGGGCAGCCCTGCCCACTGACCCAAGATGAGACACTTGCTGACCACGGAGAGTCACACAGCCAGCTCTGGAGTTCAATCCCAGACCCAAACGCGCCCCTAGACGGAATCCATCCTTTGGATGGCCCACACTTGGCAGACCTGACAGGATACCCAGCCCGCCACACGTTGGGGCTCCTGAGCACCTCAGTGTGCTGGCTTCGACTCCCTGGTCTTCCCTACCCCTTTAAAAGCCACGCAGAGCGTTTCTCTTTGGTACTGGAGGTAACAGGGAGCCCCTGGAGTCTCAGAGCCAGAGAGTGAAGCCAGATTGCCTTTCCCAGCCCCTCCTCCTTCTGGTGCCTAAATAGCTGTTTGTATATCTCCTCTATTAGACTGGGAACTCCTTGAGGGCAGGGGCTGGCTTTTGCCTTTCTTTGTATCCCCAGCTCTTAGCCAGCAGCCTGGCCCACTCATGTTTTTGGACAGATGGGCTAGGCTGCAGTCCTGGTGTGAGGTGATGGCCGTGGCCCAGGGGGTGGACGTGTGAGTAGAGATAAGGGGTCCTATGGGTGAGATGTTGTAAGGCCCAGGACTCACCCCAAATTTGGCATTCAGGAGTCTCTGCTGCACACTGTAAGTGGACCCCCGTTCCAAGCCCCTGGCCCCAGACTGTGTGCAACCAAGAAGAGCTGGTTGTCTCACTCCTCCACAGAGGGAGGCCTCTCAGAAGCAGCACCCACCCAGGCACCATCCCCAAGGGCCTCCTTCCCCTGAAGTCACAGGAACTCTGAAATCTGCCGTCCTCACTTCACAGAGGGATGGGGAGACCCAAGGCTGGAGTGGGGAAGGGGCAGGACAAAGCCACCCTCACGGGTCACCTCCTCTCAGGGCAACCACTGGAGGGCACCAGGCAACTGGATGCCTTCACTGTACAGATAGAGAAACTGAGGCCCAGGAAGGGTAGGAACTTTCTTGAGATGCCTCTGGGAGTGACCCTCCTCCAGCACCAAGTCTGTCTGCCCCCTGTGCTCCAGGGTGGGGAGGGAAGCAGGGTGTCTCCCCCCTTCCCCAGGATCCCTGGCCTTAGCCAGCTCAGGGCCTGCTCTGCTCCCTCTGCCCCTCCAACCTGCCAGCTGTGGGCCCTGGACAAGCCTCAGTGTCCCCATCTCTGAAATGGGTCTGCCTCCTCACAGGACTGCTGTGGTGATACTTAAGGACATGGCACACACCTGTCTGCCCCTTAGAGAATGGGGGATGCTGGGGGACCCCAAGAGAAGGGGACCCTGAGTGGGGGTGGGGACACACTGCCTGCCTCTCTACTGAGACATCCAGGGGCAGGAAAGGGGCTCACTCCCTGCCTTTTCTCCTGTGACTCCCCCAGATTGGGGGGGGGCTCATTCTCTGCCCTCTGTCCCTCCAGGCTCTGCCCTCTCTCCCCTGAACCTCCCAGATAGCTAGGGCTCACTCCCTGCCCTCCCTCTGTGATCCTCCACACTGACGGGGAGCTCACTCCCTGTCCTCCCTCTGTGATCCCCCTGATGAACACGGGGGGCTCACTCCCCGTCCTTCCTCTGTGATCCCCCTGACAAACACGGGGGGCTCACTCCCTGTCCTCCCTCTGGGATCCCCCTGACGAACACGGGGGGCTCACTCCCCATCCCCCCTCTGTGATCCCCCTGACTGATGGAAGGCTCACTCCCTGTCCTCCCTCTGTGATCCTCCATACTGACGGGGAGCTCACTTCCTGCTCTTCCTCTGTGATTCTCCCAGATGGACAGGGGACTCACTCCTTTCTTTCGCTCCCGTGATCCCCTAGACGGACAGGGGGCTCACTCCCTTCTTTTAAGCCTGTGATCTCCCAGATGGACACGGGGCTCACTCCCTGTCCTCCCTCTGTGATCCCTCAGACTGATGGGAGGCTCACTCCCCGTCCTTCCTCTGTGATCCTCCACACTGACAGGAAGCTCACTTCCTGTTCTTCCTCTGTGATTCCCCCAGATGGACAGGGGACTCACTCCCTTCTTTCGCTCCTGTGATGCCCTAGACGGACAAGGGGCTCACTCCCTTCTTTCACTCCTGTGATCCCCCAGACGGACACGGGGCTCACTCCCTGTCCTCCCTCTGGGATCCCCCTGACGAACACGGGGGGCTCACTCCCCATCCCCCCTCTGTGATCCCCCTGACTGATGGAAGGCTCACTCCCTGTCCTCCCTCTGTGATCCTCCACACTGACGGGGAGCTCACTTCCTGCTCTTCCTCTGTGATTCTCCCAGATGGACAGGGGACTCACTCCTTTCTTTCGCTCCCGTGATCCCCTAGACGGACAGGGGGCTCACTCCCTTCTTTTAAGCCTGTGATCTCCCAGATGGACACGGGGCTCACTCCCTGTCCTCCCTCTGTGATCCCCCAGACTGATGGGAGGCTCACTCCCTGTCCTCCCTCCGTGATCCCCCAGACTGATGCGATGCTCACTTCCTGTCCTCCCTCTGTGATCCCCCAGACTGATGCGATGCTCACTCCCTGTCCTCCCTCCGTGATCCCCCAGACTGATGGGAGGCTCACTCCCTGTCCTCCCTC